TCCCCACGGCTTCTCCTGATCCCACCGGCTTCTCCTGATCCCCACGGCTTCTCCTGATCCCACCAACATCTCCTGATCCCACCAACATCTCCTGATCCCACCAACATCCCCTGATCCCACCGGCTTCTCCTGATCCCACCAACATCCCCTGATCCCACCAATGTCCCCTGATCCCACCAACATCTCCTGATCCCCCCGGCTTCTCCTGATCCCACCAATGTCCCCTGATTGCATCAACGTCTCCTGATCCCCACGGCTTCTCCTGATTGCATCAACATCTCCTGATCCCACCAACATCTGATCCCAACATCTCCTGATCCCACCAACATCTCCTGGTCCCACCAACGTCTCCTGATCCCACCAACGTTCCCTGATCCCACCAATGTCTCCTGATCCCACCAACATCTCCTGGTCCCACCAACATCTCCTGCTGGTCCCACCATGTTCTCCCCCTGATCCCACCAACGTTCCCTGCTCCTACCAGCTTCTCCCCCTGATCCCACCGGTTTCTCCTGCTGACCCCAGCCCGTTCCTGCCCCCAGGACCTTCCTGGAGTGCGGCCGCTGCTCGTCTCCGCCCCTCCACGAGCTGTCCCCCGGCTCCAGGGACAGCTGCACCTTCCCGGGTAGCTTCCCCTTCTGGGGCGTGGCCGGGATCCTGGTCTACGAATCCGAGTCCTTCACCTTGGCCATCTACTTCTCCAACCCCATCGACTACAACAAGTTCTCCACGGAGCTGGGCTTGGAGCTGTCCCTGGAGAAAGCCCACTTGAACCCCCTGGAGAGCACCTACGAGCGCATGGCCAAGGGTTCCTACTCCAGCTCCGAGGTGGACCTCCAGTTCCACCGCGTCACCCTGGGCAAGGGCCACGGCAGCGCCAGCGTCAGCGCCGGGCCCGTCAAGGTGACGGCCACCATGTCCAGGGCCACCGACTCGGTGCTCAGGGTGGTGCTGGAGGGACAGGATGGGTGGCTGGAGAGGTCGGGCTCGGGGAGGCACTACCAGGAGAGGTGAGGAGCGGCGGCCTCGGGCAGTTGGAGGTGTCTCCAGAAGCTTCTGGATGCAGCTGGAACCCCATTGAGTGCTTCTGGAACCCCGTAGATGCTTCTAGAACCCCATAGAAACCCCATAGGAACCTCATAGATGCTGTCAGAACCCCATAGATGCTTCTGGAACCCCATAGATGTTGGTAGAACCCCATAGATGCTGTGAGAACCCCATAGAAACGTCTAGAACCCTATAGAAACCCCATAGGAACCTCATAGATGCTTCTGGAACCCCATAGATGCTTCTGGAACCCCATAGATGCTTCTAGAACCCCATAGAAACCCCATAGGAACCTCATAGATGCTTCTAGAACTCAATAAAAATCTCTACAACCTCATAAATGCTTTTCGAACTTCATTGAAACCGTCAGAACCCCATAGATGCTTCTAGAACCCCATGGATGTCTCTAGAACCCCATAGGAACCCCATAGGAACCTCACAGATGCTTCTAGAACTCCATAGACACATCCAGAACCCCATAGAAACCCCATAGGAACCTCATAGATGCTTCTAGAACCCCATAGATGCTTCTAGAACCCCATAGATGCTTCTGGAATCCCATAGATGCTGTCAGAACCCCATAGAAACGTCTAGAACCCCATAGAAACCCCATAGGAACCTCATAGATGCTGTCAGAACCCCATAGATGCTTCTGGAACCCCATAGATGTTGGTAGAACCCCATAGATGCTGTCAGAAGCCCATAGAAACGTCTAGAACCCTATAGAAACCCCAAAGGACCTCATAGATGCTTCTGGAACCCCATAGATGCTTCCAGAACCCCATAGAAACCCCATAGGAACCTCATAGATGCTTCTAGAACTCAATAAAAATCTCTACAACCTCATAAATGCTTTTTGAACTTCATTGAAACCTTCAGAACCCCATAGATGCTTCTAGAACCCCATGGATGTCTCTAGAACCCCATAGGAACCCCATAGGAACCTCACAGATGCTTCTAGAACTCCATAGACACATCCAGAACCCCATAGAAACCTCCAGAAACCCCACAAATCCTTTCAGAACCCCACAGAAACCTCCAGAACCCCGCAGACACATCCAGAACCTCAGGAACGCCGGGGGTTCCTACTCCAGCTCCGAGGTGGACCTCCAGTTCCACCGTGTCACCCTGGGCAAGGGCCACGGCAGCGCCAGCGTCAGCGCCGGGCCCGTCAAGGTGACGGCCACCATGTCCAGGGCCACCGACTCGGTGCTCAGGGTGGTGCTGGAGGGACAGGATGGGTGGCTGGAGAGGTCGGGCTCGGGGAGGCACTACCAGGAGAGGTGAGGAGCGGCGGCCTCGGGCAGTTGGAGGTGTCTCCAGAAGCTTCTGGATGCAGCTGGAACCCCATGAGTGCTTCTGGAACCCCGTAGATGCTTCTAGAACCCCATAGAAACCCCATAGGAACCTCATAGATGCTGTCAGAACCCCATAGATGCTTCTGGAACCCCATAGATGTTGGTAGAACCCCATAGATGCTGTCAGAAGCCCATAGAAACGTCTAGAACCCTATAGAAACCCCATAGGAACCTCATAGATGCTTCTGGAACCCCATGGATGTCTCTAGAACCCCATAAAAACCCCATAGGAACCTCACAGATGCTTCTAGAACCCCATAGATGCTTCTAGAACCCCATAGATGCTGTCAGAACCCCATAGAAACGTCTAGAACCCCATAGGAACCCCATAGGAACCTCATAGATGCTTCTAGAACCCCATAGAAACCCCATAGGAACCTCATAGATGCTTCTGGAACCCCATAGATGCTTCTGGAACTCTATAGATGCTTCTAGAACCCCATAGAAACCCCATAGGAACCCCGTAGGAACCTCATAGATGCTTCTAGAACCCAATAGATGCTTCCAGAACCCCATAGAAACCCCATAGGAACCTCACAGATACTTCTGGAACACCATAGATGCTCCTGGAACCCCATAGATGTTGGTAGAACCCCATAGAAACGTCTAGAACCCCATAGAAACCCCATACGAACCTCATAGATGCTTCTGGAACCTCATAGATGCTTCTGGAACCCCATGGATGTCTCTAGAACCCCATAAAAACCCCATAGGAACCTCACAGATGCTTCTAGAACCCCATAGATGCTTCTAGAACCCCATAGATGCTGTCAGAACCCCATAGAAACGTCTAGAACCCCATAGGAACCCCATAGGAACCTCATAGATGCTTCTAGAACCCCATAGAAACCCCATAGGAACCTCATAGATGCTTCTGGAACCCCATAGATGCTTCTGGAACCTCATAGATGCTTCTAGAACCCCATAGAAACCCCATAGGAACCTCATAGATGCTTCTGGAACCTCATAGATGCTTCTGGAACCCCATGGATGTCTCTAGAACCCCATAGAAACCCCATAGGAACCCCATAGGAACCTCATAGATGCTTCTAGAACCCAATAGATGCTTCCAGAACCCCATAGAAACCCCATAGGAACCTCACAGATCCTTCAGGAACCCCATAGATGTTGGTAGAACCCCATAGAAACGTCTAGAACCCTATAGAAACCCCATAGGAACCTCATAGATGCTTCTAGAACTCAATAAAAATCTCTACAACGTCATAAATGCTTTTAGAACTTCATTGAAACCTCCAGAACCCCATAGATGCTTCCAGAATCCCATAGAAACCCCATAGAAACCTCCTAGATGCTTCTAGAACCTCATAGAATCTTCTAGAACTCCATAGAAACATCCAGAAACCCCATAAATGCTTTTAGAACCCCACAGAAACATCTCGAACCCCACAGAAGAACCCCATAGGAACCTCATGGATGCTTCTAGAACCCCACAGGTTCCTGTAGAATCCCATAGAAACTTCTAGAACCCCACAGAAGAACCCCATAACACAGTCAGAACCCCAAAGATGCTTCTGGAACCCCATAGAAACGTCTAGAACCCCATGGAACCATCTAGAACAGTCTAGAACAGTCTAGAACAGTCTAGAACCTCTAGAACAGTCTAGAACAGTCTAGAACAGTCTAGAACCTCTAGAACCTCCTAGAACCTCTAGAACCTCTAGAACAGTCTAGAACCTCTAGAACCTCTAGAACGGTCTAGAACCTCTAGAACCTCTAGAACCTTCTAGAACCTCTAGAACAGTCTAGAACCTCTAGAACAGTCTAGAACCTCTAGAATCTCTAGAACAGTCTAGAACCTCTAGAACAATCTAGAACCTCTAGAACCGTCTAGAACCTCTAGAACGGTCTAGAACGGTCTAGAACGGTCTAGAACGGTCTAGAGCTCTTTAGAGCCGTTTAGAACTATCTAGAACCCCATAGAGACCTCTAGAACCCCCATGGAAACTTCTAGAAACCTCATAGAAACCTCTGGAAACCCCATAGAAATTTCTAGAACCTCCATAGAAAGCTCTAGAAACCCCATAAAAACCTGTAGAACCTCATAAATGCTCTTAGAACCCCATAGAAACTTCTAGAAGCTCCATAGAAACTTCTAGAACCTCCATGGAAACCTCGAGAATCCCCATAGAAACCTTTAGAAACCCCATAGAAACCTCTGGAACCTCCATGGAAACCTCTGGAACCTCCATAGAAACTTCTAGAACTCCATAGAAACCTCTGGAACCTCCATAGAAACCTCTGGAACCTCCATAGAAACCTCTGGAACCTCCATAGAAACTTCTAGAACCCCCATAGAAACCTCTGGAACCTCCATAGAAACCTTTAGAAACCCCATAGAAACCTCTGGAACCTCCATAGAAACTTCTAGAACTCCATAGAAACCTCTGGAACCTCCATAGAAACTTCTACAACTCCATAGAAACCTCTGGAACCTCCATAGAAACCTCTGGAACCTCCATAGAAACTTCTAGAATTCCATAGAAACATCTGGAACCTCCACAGAAACTTCTAGAACTCCATAGAAACCCCTGGAACCTCCATAGAAACCTCTGGAACCTCCATAGAAACTTCTAGAACTCCATAGAAACCTCTGGAACCTCCATAGAAACCTCTGGAACCACCCCAAGATGCCTCCGGAACCTTCTGGAAAGCTTCGGAACATTCTGGACCTGCTCCCCCCCCCCCAATCTCTGGTTTTGGGGTCCCCACTGGAATTTTGGGACTTCTTTTATTGGTCAATAAAAATGGGAACTTTAAACGTGGAAAAACGGGAAAAAAATGGGAAAAAAGGGAATTTTTATCCATGGAAAATTGGGGAAATTGGGATTTTGGATCTGTGGGAAAATTGGGAAAAAAGGGGGATTTTGGTTCATGGAAAATCGGGAAAAATGGGATTTTTGATCTGTGGAAAAATGGGGAAAAATGGGATTTTGGTTCAAGGAAAATCGGGAAAAATGGGATTTTTGGTTCATGGAAAATGGGGAAAAATCTGGTTTTTGATGCATGGAAAATTGGGAAAAATTGGATTTTTAATCCACAGAAAATCAGGGAAAATGGGAATTTTGATGCATGGAAAAATGGGAAAAATTGGGATTTTGGTCCATGGAAAATGGGGGAAAATGGGATTTTGGATCTGTGGAAAATCTGGTTTTTGATGCATGGAAAATTGGGAAAAATGGGATTTTTAATCCGCAGAAAATCAGGGAAAATGGGAATTTTGATCCATAAAAAATTGGGGAAAATGGGATTTTTTTATCCATGGAAAAATGGGAAAAATTGGGATTTTTGGTTCATGGAAAATGGGGAAAAATCTGGTTTTTGATGCATGGAAAATTGGGAAAAATGGGATTTTTAATCCACAGAAAATCAGGGAAAATGGGAATTTTGATCCATGGAAAAATGGGAAAATTGATCCATAAAAAATTGGGAAAAATGGGATTTTGGATCCATAAAAAATTGGGAAAAATGAGATTTTTTATCCATGGAAAATTGGGAAAATTGGGATTTTTTATCAGTGGAAAATGAGGAAAAATCTGGTTTTTTATCCATGGAAAAACGGGGAAAATTCCATCCAAAAAAATTCCCGGAGCGCGGATCCCGCTCATCCCAAATTTCCCTCCCTCATCCCAAATTTCCCTCCCTCATCCCAAATTTCCCTCCCAAAATTCCCATTTTTTTATTCCACACGGATCAAGTGCAAAAATTCCCGTTTTATTCAGCCGAGCCACAAAAATAAACCAAAAAATTGGGAATTTTTTTTTAGGGAGGGAATTCCCAAATTTTGGGGAAGATCTCTCAAATAATTGATCCAAATTTGGGGGGTCCTGGGGGGATTTTGGGGAAATTTTTGAGGATTTTTTGGGGTTTTTGGGAATTTTTTAGGGATTTTTTTTGGGATTTTTTTGGGATTTTTTTGGATTTTTTTGGGTTTTTTTTGGGGATTTTTTGGGGATTTTTTGGGAATTTTTTGGGGAGTTTTTGGGGGTTTTTTGGGAATTTTTTTGGGAATTTTCTGGGAATTTTTTTGGGTTTTTTTGGGAATTTTTTAGGGATTTTTTTTGGGATTTTTTGGGGGTTTTGGGAATTTTTTAGGGATTTTTTGGGAATTTTTTGGGGAATTTTTTAGGGATTTTTTTGGGATTTTTTGGGGGATTTTTTTGGGTTTGTTTTTTTTTTTTTTGGATTTTTTTTGGGTTTTTTTTGGGTTTTTTTGGGACCTTTTGGGATTTTTTTGGGAATTTTTTCTGGGATTTTTTGGGTTTTTCCTGGGATTTTTTTGGGAATTTTTTAGGGATTTTTTTGGGGATTTTTTTGGATTTTTTTGGGAGTTTTTGGGGCTTTTTGGGAATTTTTTAGGGAATTTTCTGGGAATTTTTTGGGGGTTTTTTTGGGAATTTTTTAGGGATTTTTTTGGGGATTTTTGGGGATTTTTTTGGGATTTTTTGGGGTTTTTTTTGGGATTTTTTTGGATTTTTTTTTATTTTTTTGGGAGTTTTTGGGGGTTTTTGGGGAATTTTTTTGGAATTTTCTGGGATTTTTTTGGGATTTTTGTGGATTTTTTAGGGATTTTTTTTGGGATTTTTTGGGAATTTTTTAGGTTTTTTTGGGGATTTTTTTTGGAATTTTCTGGGATTTTCTGTGGATTTTTTTGGGATTTTTTGTGGATTTTTTGGGAATTTTTTGTGGATTTTGGGGGTTTTTTTGGGAATTTTTGGGGTTTTTTGTGAACCTTTTGGGATTAATTTTTGGGGTTTTTGGGGATTTTTGGGGAGTTTTGGGGGGTTTTTTGGGAATTTTTTTGGGAATTTTCTGGAATTTTTTTGGGGGATTTTTTGTGGATTTTTTGGGAGTTTTTGGGATTTTTTTTTAATTTTCTGGGATTTTTTCTTGGATTTTTTTTTTTATTTTTTGGGATTTTTTTGGGACCTTTTGGAATTTTTTTGGGAATTTTTGGGGATTTTTTCTGGGATTTTTGGGGTTTTTTTTGGGGTTTTTAGGGAACTTCTTGGGATTTTTGGGGGGGATTTTTTTGGTTTTTTTTTTATTTTTTCAGGGGTTTTTGGGGATTTTTTTGGGATCTTTTGGGGGATTTTTTCTTGGATCTTTTGGGATTTTGGGGGAATTTTTTTGGATTTTTTTTGGGATTTTTTTTGGAATTTTTTAGGAATTTTTTTTTTATTTTTTGGGGGGGATTTTGGGAACTTTTTGGGATTTTTTTTTTTTTTAAAAATTTTGGGGATTCTTTTTTAATTTTTATTTTTTGGGAATTTTTTGGGAATTTTTGGAATTTTTTAGGATTTTTTAAAAATTTTTTAGGAATTTTTTTTTAATTTTTTAGGATTTTTTTTTGAATTTTTTTTGGTTTTTGGGGGGTATTTTTGGGTGTTTTTGGGGTTCCTGGGGTTGTTTTTGGGGTCCCCCCCTAGATGAGGTCCATCAGGATGTTCTCCTCCACCATCCCAAGGGGTCTGGAGACCCCAAATTTGGGGGTTCCTGGGGGATTTTTGGGGTAATTTTGGGGTGGTTTTTTTGGGTATTTTTGGGGTTTCTGGGGTTGTTTCTGGGGTTTTTGGGGTTCCCAGACCCCATTTTTGGGGTTCCCCCCTAGATGAGGTCCATCAGGATGTTCTCCTCCACCACCCTGAGGGTCTGGAGACCCCAAATTTGGGGGTTCCTGGGGTATTTTTGGGGTTTCTGGGTGTATTTTTGGGGTTTCTGGGGGTATTTTGGGGTGTTTTTGGGGTTTCTGGGGTTGTTTTTGGGGTTCCCCCCCTAGATGAGGTCCATCAGGATGTTCTCCTTCACCACCCCAAGGGGTCTGGAGACCCCAAATTTGGGGGTTCCTGGGAGATTTTTGGGGTAACTTTGGGGTGTTTTGCAGATTTTTCTGGGTATTTTTGGGGTTTCTGGGGGTATTTTGGGGTTGTTTTTGGGGTTTTTGGGGTTCCCAGACCCCATTTTTGGGGTCCCCCCTAGATGAGGTCCATCAGGATGTCCTCCTCCACCACCCCAAGGGGTCTGGAGACCCCAAATTTGGGGGTTCCTGGGGGATTTTTGGGGGTATTTTGGGGTTGTTTTGGGTATTTTTGGGGTTCCTGGGGGTATTTTGGGGTGTTTTTGGGGTTTCTGGGGTTGTTTTTGGGGTTTCTGGGGATGTTTTTGGGGTTCCTGGGGTTGTTTTTGGGGTTCCCCCCTAGATGAGGTCCATCAGGATGTCCTCCTCCATCACCCCAAGGGGTCTGGAGACCCCAAATTTGGGGGTATTTTGTGGT